CAGATCTTGGGGTTCCTCGCTGCACAATGGACAGGTTGGGTCCGATATTCTGTCTATTCTATTTTTGTAGGCCCGCAGTCCAGAGAAGTGACCGGTCCTGATTTTTGCCAGTAATGACTGGTCACTGCGGGACATAATAAGAGCCTCACTTTTTAAGGAAAATGCCCTGTATACTTCCTTCGTCCGCGTGTGGCATATAGGGGGGTCTTTTGTAATTAGTTTTATCTGGGCGCACGCACTTTCATAAGTAATTTGGCGGCCTGGACCCGGCAGACATCTGTTTTGAATCACCTCCAGATTATTTATCAGAGTTTTGCTCAGCCACGGTTGCCAGCTGCTGCTCGCAAAGTTGAGAACACTTTGTATATGAGTGTTGTTGTTGTTGTTGTTGTTGTTGTTGTGTGTGTGTATGGTAGCTATCCGTTCGAAATGTTTGGAGCCCCGAAGAGCGTGCTCTACGCCACGGCCACCGTCGCTCTTGGGTAACGGGTGAGGCAGTCCAACCTCCCTGAACCCTCCCCAAAAAAGAACATCACCGCCGCTGTTGTTGTTGCTGTTGTTGTTGTTGTTATTGTTATTTTGTGTGTGTGTGGGGGGGGGGGGATTGGCTAAACACAATGTTATGACCATTTAAAAACACATTTCTGTGTAAAGATTACTTTTTAAAAAAACGTTGATCAGATGCACAAGAAACATAAACCTTTCAGTAGTTTCCAAGGTCTCTCAATCTTTGGAAGTCGCCAAACTTTGGCGGCCATTTTTACTTTATTTATTCCTCTAGCACTAGACGACTCCTACCTGTTTCAATCGCAAATATCTCAACTTCTGTTCATTATAGATGGACCTTTTTCCAGGAAAAGAACTACAAAATGAAAACGCTTTAATTGAACAGGATACCGATAACTTCGCAAGTCCCATAACTGATCAGCGCTTGTTTCCACCGTGTCGCAACACATAAGGATGACACTAGTCTCGAGTTATATTTTCTTAGGTTTCTGCTTAGGGGCTCAAAATCCCTTTCTTTGAGGATTTTGGGGCGCTGAACACGAAAATGATTGCATTTTGGTAGCTGTAAGTCTACAAGAAGATCATTTTTTTTTTAAATGGGGAGAGTAGTTACACCTGAAGGCTATCTTGTTTATTAGTGGACTAAAGCATAGTAAGTATAATTAAAATCCGCTATCAAATTTGATTAAGAAGTTTCGTTTCCATGACTACGGCGGCGATATTGGATTTTATTGACAAGTCTGACGTAATTGAATGCCGCACTTACTTTAAAAGGAAATAGATTGTTCTTCTGCATGCATGTTAACAAACGTTCGATCTACGAATTCGTCTCACTCCAGACACCACCAACAAAAACATATTCTATTTATAAACAATTCAACATACCAATGAAAAATGGTGCAGTTGTTCAAAAAAGTATATAAAATAACCGCGTTTCGAGAAAATTGGCGATAAAGAAAAATACAAGATTGACTTTATAAGGAAATGATGGTGACAAACATGCTCAGTATGGGAAGAAACAAGGATTTAGGGGTTCTAATGCTATGAAATAGTTGTAAGAGAGTCTGAAAGAGCTAAAAATGCCTACAACTTAAAATCCTTTTTTTTGCTGAATTGGGACTGTTGGGGTGTATCCCCCTCCCCCACCTTTAAACTCATTTTACGCGATTATTTTAGTATGGTGTAATCTTGCTAGAAAGTTTCGGTGAAAGTCAGGTTGATTCGATGAAATCAGGCGCTTGAAAATTTTATGAAATTGAAGAAATCGACATTTTACCGGCGATGAGCTATTTTTATCAATTTTTTGTTAACCTTTTTGTGCCCATCCATGAGAGTTCTGTATGAATGTTACTTTTTTTAAATTGACCAAAGCAACAAAGATGGAAATTTGCAGTTTCCTAGGGAACTCAAGCTTTGAAACTCATCAAACATTGATGGCCATTATCTCGCAAATTTGATAATAATTACTTTCCACCCCAGGCGACCCCCACCTCCATCAGTCCCAAGATTTTAAGATAGTTTTAAAAAACGTCAAGTGTTCAATTGTGACGATCGCCATATTCCACCGAGTGGAAACACTGTTAGAGAGTGTTAAAAAACTCCAAGAACAGTGGGAAAAAGTAGGAATTCATAATAATGCAGGTTTCAAT